ACGGACACGCATGTCTTAATTAGTTTTATTTTTTTTATTTTTTTTTTAATTGGTCAAACCCAAACTCAAACAAAAACATTGTTTTCAATCATTATGAGTCTCCCAATTGAATAGAATTTTATTATAAATAATTGTCTTGTAAATGAAATTTTTAAAGCATTCTGGATGTTAAAAATAAAGAAAAAAGTGTGCAAGAGAATAAGAAACACTACCTAGCAAAAAAAAAAAAAAAAAGAAAAAAAAAAAGTGAATTTTTGTTTTATCGGCTGAAAAATGTAGAAAATCCGATCTCATATTTAAAGGAACCCACACACACAAACAACGTGATGCGAGTTGTCCCCCTTTCATTCGCATGATGTCTCTTAATCGTGTTTTCAAATTGATTTTGTGCAAAAACAATTATATTTTTCCCATTTTTGGTGCTGTTAGAACCACCACAAGGTAATTTTATGTAGTCCTGTGAAGTTTTGTTGAAATCGGTTGAAAAATGTAGGAAATCCGATCCAATATATAAACGTTACAGACACACACAATCTGCATTTTATAATAAGTAAGATATTCATATTCAGTTGTATGGATATGAGTTTGTCAAATAAACTCATATCCATACAACTGAATATCTTAGCTCTATCACCGATATTAAGCACTTTCCTCTAAGTACTATGCATATAAAATTATATATAGAAACACCTACATATATAGGTGTGTGTGTGTGTGTGTGTGTGTATTTTTTTTAAATTTTTTTTGTAATCTCTTTGTTTTGTATTAGATTTATTATCTGCCAACTTATTTTTTTCTCAGAAGTAAATTAACTACAACACTATTTTAAGTATAAGTTGTGAATACTTAAACTTGACAATGGTCAGTTTTCAATTTGTGCTTGATGATTGTCACATGCATAAAAGTCAGAGTTCCACCAAATGATGTGTAACACATGTATATTCGTTATTAATATAAAATTCATTTTACTTGAAACAGTTTTATTCCACTAGCACTCAATGTGTACTTTTTTATATATATATATATATATATATATATATATATATATATATATATATATATATATACTTTTTATATTATATATTTTTATATATATATATATATATATATAATTAATTTCAATATTGAAATTAATAAAATAAAAAAAAAAAAAAAAAAAACATATATATATTAAAAAGTACACAATGAGTACTGGTGGGAATAAAATAAATTCTCTATCTGATGCCCAATTCAGTCAGGTTTCAATCCTAGCTAGAGGCAATCGGATGTCTAACCACACTGATGAGCTATGATACAGTGAGACAGTATCTGTAGATGACAATATATGCTCCTGAAAAAATTATTTCGGCAGAACTCTCTGGGAAAGAAGTGTTTGTAAACAGTGACCATTACTGCTACTAATGCAATACTCTTCGATAAAACAAATCAAGTTCTCTTAGTCACTGTTTATCTAAATTTGGATGATTATCTAAAAAATAAATATGTTTAAATTCACCTTCATCCCTGCTGTGCACCAATGGCTTAGGGGTAGATTCTCCGACTGATCTCAATTTAGTCAGGTTTTGATCATAACTAGAGGTAACTGAACGTCTAGTTACACTGATGAACTGTGATACAGCAAACAGTTTGTCCATGGATTACACAAATAGTTTATCCATGGATATATATATATATATATATATATATATATATATATATATATATATATATATATATATATATATATATATATATATATATTTTGTATATATATATATATATATATATATATATAACTATATAGGTGTATAGGCTATATATATATATATATATAAAGTAAATATAAAAGAAAAATAAATGTTTTACTAATAAATATATATATATATATATATATATATATATATATATATATATATATATATATATATATATATATATATATATATATATATATATATATATATATATATATATATATATTATATATATATATAAAAAAATAGATAAAATCCAAAGTGCTAAATGTTTTTATTAAGATAAAACTAATACTCAAACTTAATATGTTCCATGATCAGCCATGCCTCCACTTCTCAAATTTTCCTCTTTACCTACTTTTTCATCGTGAACTTGAAGTGACTTGACGCAAGAATGACCTGGTTCCAAAATTTCACAGCTATCAGGCGTTTGACCATAAGTGAATTCCAGGCACCATCAGGATCTCCTGCTGTGATTCATGTGATCAGACCATACTAAGCGTGTATTGAAATTTTGGCCATCACACAAACATTGCGTGATTTGCATCCCATCCTCCTACATACCCAGTCAAGGACAAAGAGAACCCACGTGACTGTCTTTGGGGACAGCAAAAATATAAAAAAAGGATTTTCTGTTTCCCTCTGACCAGTGGCAGATGAACGTCGCTGGGCAACTCATCCTGATTCCAAATAGACTGCCCACTGAGATGAAGACAGCAAAGTCTGTCGACTAGAGATGAAAGGACTGCTATGAAATTGAATTAATACAATGAAACGCCTGTACGAAATGCTGTCAACCCCGAATATTTGCAAAAGAAAAGGAATCCAGGAAAATTGCTGGCTGACCAAAATATTGTTTCAGCATAAGAACTCTCGCTTCGGTGAATCAGAATTTCGACTGACAGATAAGTTGGTTCTCTTGGCTTGATCTTTTTTTTTTTTTATATATATATATGTATTCGCTTGCACCTTGTGTTCTTTAATGGTCCCCTTCCCCTTTGTTAAATGAATTTTCTTTTTTTCTTTCTTTATCTGTTTATATATTTATAAATAAATGTTTTATTTTGAAATCCATCGTCTTGTGTCTGTTCTTCATTGACTTTTCTGAGTGAAGACCGAGAAAGGATCCCACGTTTTCTTTTTTTTTTTTTAAACCCATGGTTCATCTATATGCTGCAAGTTCGTAACTATATATATATATATATATATATATATATATATATATAAAATAGTTATTTAGGATTTTTTAGCTATTTAGTTTGTTTGTTACTTTCTTTACTTAGACCATTATATTATTTTAATTGATAGATTACCAAACTGGTAAGGAATTTAAATAAAGAGTACGAGATAATTTTGTAATGCACAGTTTCATAAAATCAATGTAAATGGGAGATAGGTTTTATGTGTGTGACCGTGTGTGTGTGTGAGTACATTTACTACATTTATATGTAGAGGTGTGAATGTGTATACGTCTTTCTAATTTCGTTTGATTAAGAGTATAATAGAGATTTTTGTATAATAGTAAGAATAATGAATTTATTTTTTTAGAAACAGTAATAAGTAAGGTTTAGTTATCAAATTAGGGGATTAGTATTTAAAACGTAAAAACATTGGATTAAACTATGCAAGAACTAGTCCAGCTCATCTCGTTATAAATTCTGGAGAAATAGCTCAAATCAAAACTGGACGGAGCAAAAAAAAAAAACAAGACTATATACGAAGGAAACATGAAAAGCCTTTATTTCATTGATTGACGTATGTCAATAAGAACGGTCGGACTCCTAGCTATATCTTAATTTTTTTTTGCAATGTTGAGGTGTATAGCATGACGCTATCAAGGAGGTGGCCTGACTCTTTTGGAATCAAGTCGGGGTTGCCGATATGATGCAAAACCCGAAATCGGCGATGAAGACAGTGCATCACTAGAGATAACCCTTGATCATCTAAAATGTATTATTGAACTATATATATAATTTCTATGTATGTATTTAGCATTATAGAATGTTTTATCTTCAAAATACAGTCAACATATTGTGTTCATATTCATAGTTGATATTACTGAGTTTTATTTTGTTTTTATTAATAAGGCTTCCATTATTTTTAGCCTTTTTTTTCCATGTAGACAATACTATTATATTTGCATTATCATTAAGTATGTTGTGAATAAATAGGACCTGGTCGGTCTCCATGAGTATTTAAATGAGACCTAATTGAGCTATAGTCAGAAAGATGTAGTGTGAGTCTTCTTGTTAAATATGTGGCATACATACAACAATCCATTTCTGGTTAACAGTAAATATATTTCATCCTTGAAAATGGGTAAATGTATAGCTGAAAGCGCTTGGAAAAATAAAACATTTGGATTGTTTTTGCATAATTTATCTCTGGAAAAGAAAAAAAATTATAAGACCATATGAGAAATTATATATATATAAATATAAAAAAAAAAAAAAAAAAAACTTAATCAAAGCACCTTTGTCTGTCATATTTAATGAAGCTTATATTTTATATATATATATATATATATATATATATATATATATATATATATATATATATATATATATATATATATATATAAATATATATATATATATATATATATATATATATAATATATATATATATATATATATATATATATATATATATATATAATATATATATATTATATATATATATATATAATATATATATATATATATAATATATATATATATATATATATAATATAAAATTTAAATTAAAGAGTTGAGATGGATGTTAGGGTTTTCATTTGCAGACTGCCGAAGGCTGACGTATTCACTTAGGTGAAAACCTGGTAGGTTTGTCTGGCTTTTCTAGGTTTAACTAGGTCTGCTCTACTTACTGTATTGAGCACTTTTATTTAGTTATTTTGCTTACTGTATCGGGGTTTTTTCTTTGGACTTGATGCTAGATTTATTATTTTCAGCCGACATACATGTCGTTTGCTGAAACCTCCTGATAAGTGGACAGAATGATTACAAAACAGTTCATCTACAAAAGCTCCTGAGTCAAAATGCTGAATATAACATCAATCAGTTAAGAGACAAATTTTATTTGCAGTCATCCTATATATAAAAAGAAATGCCCCATGTCTATTAGAAACCTATCAATAGATGGATTTTTTTTTTTTTTTTCCTGACAACATTGCAGGCTCTGGGACCAAGTGAGGAAAATATTGACAGCTTCTATGGAGGCTGAGGACGCACATAATTAGAGGTAAGAGATATATTCGCTACTTACTTCCTTAAATGCCACCACCAAGCAGTGCTGAACCATGACACAAAGGCAAGGTTTTCACGGATGAATGCCATCGTCCAAAAGACGAGCAATACAAGACCATGGCCACGGGTTGGAATAGAAGGTAGCGCCCGTGACCTCTCCAGACAGAGTAGACGTAAAGACATTGTCCAACCAAAGAAGTAGACAAGGGCTGTGTACAGTTGATAGCCATAGACAGTGTGTGAACTGATGGCAGCATCAGTCAGGACAATGTGCAAGACGCACTCGATAATTAAAAGACAAGTACAAGCAACCTGGCAAAGAAAAGATTAAAAATAAGCATTAAAAATTTTGATTAAAAAAAAAAAAAATTTGAATGAAATAAAAAATCCTATTACAATTATGCTTAGCCTTCCCTTCGTTAGTTTGCACGACCATTGCGCCCTGCCAATACCTCATAAATAATGGACTGTTTCGTTTCAATTGTATGGAAAGGGAGAAAAAGACGCTACTTGGTTTGAGTAAGAAATTAAGAAAGGGACAATAGAAGTTTTTAACATCTGTTTCAGGGAAATGAAAAAAGTTGTCAATTTCAAATCTTTTCATTTGTACCCACTTAAAATAATGGCCAGCATTCGTATTTATTGTTATTGCAATATTTTTGTTAAGGTTGTTAAGCTCAAATATTTAGGGGAATTTCTACAGATATTTTATTGTCATAGAACTCGCCATGAGCTTATTCAATCATTAACTGAAGAATTAAGATTCATGAGAAAATTCAAATAGGAAAAGCGTGAAATTATCACGGGTCTTTGTCATACAACATGCCATGAGCTTGGTCATTCATTAACTTGAGAATCAGAAAAAAAAAAAAGTCATCAAAAAAAAAAAAAAAAGCAATCAACCCTAACCCTTTTCTTTCCAGTCTATTTTGAAAAAAAATCTGTTTCAATTCCTATTCTTTTGTTTTATATCTTTAATATTATTTTTCTTATATTCTTTCACTTAGTAACATTTGTATCTTAGTGGCTTTATTGCCTTGCTTAAGGTGAAATGATTAAAAGAATTATCCAAAATATTGAATTATCCAAGCATTTGTTTTAACCAATATCCAAAGGCATGCAAATAATCTAGGAAGAACTAAACCCCCTACCAACTGTCATTTTGGAAATTCAAGTAAAATAGTGAACGGTGGGCTTACCTGTAAAATATATCCAACATTGAAAGGCTGGTATTTCTTCTCCACAGGTGTTGAATATCTGTCGTACATGCAAGACTGCACAACGCCAAAGACGCCAATGATGAGGAAGAAAATTGAAGAGGTAAGTGTATCAATAAAACATGGGTTGAGTCCGTTGTCCACCCAATAAAGATGGATGGAGGAACCATTCTTACAATATTGCATCATCTTGGCACAAGGATGTTCACTACTGTCAAAAAATTAAAAAGAAAAAAGAAAAAAGGAAAAAAAAAAAAGAAGACTTTATCATTGATTTCATTTATATGATGACTGAGAAGATTTCTCAAACAGACTTTCTTCTCAGATAATGAGCTTCCTGGCTGGAAATAATCAAGATTATCTCATGTCTCTACTCTTCTCATACTCTCACTTATACTTCCAATGCTAGATTATGCATTATCTAATGAGAGAGAGACGAGAGAGAGAGACGAGAGAGAGAGACGAGAGAGAGAGACGAGAGAGAGAGACGAGAGAGAGAGACGAGAGAGAGAGACGAGAGAGAGAGACGAGAGAGACGAGAGAGAGAGAGAGAGAGACACGTTAGAGAGACACGAGAGAGAGAGAGAGAGACACGTTAGAGAGAGACACTTAGAGAGAGACACGAGAGAGAGAGAGAGAGAACTTAGAGAGACACGAGAGAGAGACGAGAGAGAGAGAGAGAGAGACACGTTAGAGAGAGAGAGAGACTAGGAGAGAGACACGAGAGAGACGAGAGAGAGAGAGAGAGAGACAGAGAGAGAGAGACACGTTAGGAGAGACAGAGAGAGAGAGAGACACTAGAGAGAGAGAGACACGTTAGAGAGAGACACGAGAGAGAGACACGAGAGAGAGAGAGACACGTTAGAGAGACACGAGAGACAGAGAGAGAGACATTGAGAGAGAGACACGAGAGAGAGAGAGACACGAGAGAGAGAGACACGAGAGAGAGAGAGACACGAGAGAGAGAGAGAGACAGAGAGAGAGAGAGACAGAGAGAGAGAGACAGAGAGAGAGAGACACGAGAGAGAGAGAGACAGAGAGAGAGAGACAGAGAGAGAGAGAGAGACGAGAGACGAGAGAGAGACAGAGAGACAGAGAGAGAGAGAGAGAGAGAGAGACGAAAGAGAGAGAGACGAAGAGAGAGAGAGAGACGAAAGAGAGAGAGACGAAGAGAGAGAGAGACGAAAGAGAGAGAGAGGGACGGAAGAGAGAGAGGACGAAAAGAGAGAGAGACGAAGAGAGAGAGAGACGAGAGAGAGAGACGAAAGAGAGAGAGAGAGAGGAGACATACATGGTTAGTATGACAATGCTTGTGTAGAAAAAAAAATTCTTTAGCAAGTATTTCATGAAGCAGAACTCAAAACCTTCTAAATCAAAATTTTCATATCAATGCAACGGCCCCACATGAAATTTCTTGCCAGAGATTTTACGGCAGGAAATGGCTCATAAATTTTAATGACTCCAAAAAGAAACTGCTCACATTTAACCACCATAGAGTAAGTTTCCTGTTAACCATCACCGTGGCTGATGATAGACTCTTGGGGAGCAACACACTGCCTCCTTGGCTTCACGTTTTCAACTGACTTGAAGTGGAATGCCTACATCGAATCAATAGCTGCATCTACTGCAAGGAAAGTTGGGTCACCGTGTCATTCCAGGTTTTTCTGGCCAGAATCCATCCTGCACATTTACAAATCTACCATTCATTGAATACTGTTGCCATATCTGGTCAGGTGCTCTTGCTACTCACCTCGACAAGCTCCTCAAATACCTTGACTATATGAGTTTAAGCATGCTACTAGATTGCTATCTACTCCCACACTATTACTGTTGAAATAGTTAAATGTAACCACCACTTCTACTCCAACAGTTTCTTTTCTCACACTTCCCACCTGTGGAACTCGCTTCCGTTTCTTTGCTTTCATGACAACTACAATCTTTAAGAATTTAAATGCAAAATTAAATCGCCATCTTCTATTTTCTCGAACTTCAGTCATCTTTTAACCTTTCATTGGCCCCCAATTTTCCCCTCACCTTCACTCTCTGTAACCTACTGCGTACTGTGTGGCCTTGCTTGGGGTGAAATGATTATTTTTATTAAAAGTCATGGGTGAGGTAAAAAGAAAAATTAGACTTTGTGACACAGATGTCCATTTCAAATTGTCTATTTAAGCTTGCATACACACATGCATATTTAAATTCAATAATAGACAGAAAAGGAAAAACTAATGAACGAAATGAACGAACGAACAAAAAATGAAGGGAAAGGAAAAAAGAGAAAAAAGAAGAGGCAAAAAAGAAAAGGTAGGAAAGAAAAAGGAAAGAAGCAACCATGGAAAGAAAAAGGAAAGAAGCAACCATGGAAAGAAAAAGGAAAGAAGCAACCATGGAAAGAAAAAGGAAAGAAGCAACCATGGAAAGAAAAACGAAAGAAGCAACCATGGAAAGAAAAACGAAAGAAGCAACCATGGAAAGAAAAACGAAAGAAGCAACCATGGAAAGTAAAAGGAAAGAAGCAACCATGGAAAGTAAAAGGAAAGAAGCAACCATGGAAAGTAAAAGAAAGAAGCAACCATGGAAAGAAAAACGAAAAGAAGCAACCATGGAAAAGAAAAAAACGAAAAGAAGCAACCATGGAAAGAAAAAGCAAAAAGCAACCATGGAAAGAAAAACGAAAGAAGCAACGATGGAAAGAAAAACGAAAGAAGCAACGATGGAAAGAAAAGGGAAAGAAGCAACGATGGAAAGAAAAGGGAAAGAAGCAACGATGGAAAGAAAAGGGAAAGAAGCAACGATGGAAAGAAAAAGGAAAGAAGCAACCATGGAAAGAAAAAGGAAAGAAAAGAGAAAGGAAAAATAAAAATTTAAAGCGAAAAAATTTTTTTTTTAAATTAAAAAAAAAAAAAAAAAAAATTCAATGTCACTAAAAAATAATTGTAATTACTACCAAATGTTTCAAAAATTCAATAAAATCTTACAATTTTCTGATTTTTTTTTTGCCTCATCTACAAGCTCAGGGTTAGGGTCATCCAGACTGAGTGGGAGGGGAATATATTACTCCAATGTCAAAATTGAGTCAAATGGTGTTTATGTCAGTGCATACTTGTGTGAACATTAAATGACTCATACACATGTAAGTCACTCACATACCAGAGGCACATACAGACATACACATATATAAACTGATGATTTGTTTTTTTACAACTTTTTGCCAGTTCATATACATACACAAATGATAAATCACATGCAGACAAGCATATAATGGACAGAGAATCAACTCTTCATTTATAATAAATCAAGATTTTTCAAAGTCCTAAACTATTATCAAGTTTCAAGGTCCACCTCACAGAGGCACAAACAAAAAATAATAATAAATTCACAGTCTCCCTACATTAAACTTAATAGTTTTAATTTTGTAATTTTTGCCAAAATTATTTTAGAACACTGTATGTATGCAGACCAGATAGAGACGGTGGGGACACTGCAGACAGACTACAGCAGAGAGAGCAGAGTATCACTGCTTCACCTGATCTCATGTGACTTGTTGCCCTGAAGAAAAAGCCTCCAATGTAAAGCCTTGTTCAAGAAGTCTTGTTAGAAAATTCTAAGAGTGTATCATGATTTGGGAAGGGTTGAGTCTTGCTTAAGCTCTCAATAACTGTACCATCAACTTCGTATCAAGTAACTGAATAGAAATATTATTTTTCTTTTTTTTTTTTTTTTTTTTTTTCACCCCAAGCAAACAGGCGGGGAGCCACTAGGACATGAGGGGGTTACAGAAAATAGGAAGATCAGATGGGAGTGATAGAAGAAAGGATGAGGGTAGTAGATAGATTAAGGCAACTGGAGATGTCGATTGACATTACACTTGAATAGCTGGAGATTATAACTCTCAGGGAAAAGGAGGAGAAGGGAAGAGTTCCACAGGCGAGAGGTGCGAGACATGAAGCTATTAGAGTAGAAGAGACGGCTACATTTATGAGTTTTAGACAGTGAAGGGGTGAGAGCGGGATGCCAGCCTCGTGAGGGCGCTTGAACTCATGAAGTTTGGGAACCAGCGAATGCAGTTCCTCGGAGCAATTTCCATGAAAGTATTTGTAGAACAGACAGAGGGGGAGGCGACGGTGCGTCTGTGAGAAAGTGACTGTAGACGAGACGCCAGGGGCAGGGCCAACCATATTACATATCCGCCTCTGGAGCCTATCAAGAACCCCGAGGCAAACAGAAGGGCGCCAGACCATATATGGCAGCAATACTCCATGCAAAAAGGCGGTTGTGGATTTGTATATCTGGAGGATCGACTCAGGGAGAAAAACTTCCTAGCACGGCTCAGGGAGCCAACTTTCCTTGCAGTGGACGAGGCAATTGACTCGATGTATTTATTCCATCTCAGGTCAGCAGTCAGCGTGAGACCGAGAAGCCGCAGGGGGTTGCTCTCGGGAAGTTGAGCGTCAGACATTATAATGGAGGGAAGGAAGGCTCTCTGTGGTGATTAATAGAGAGCAGTTTAGTCTTCAAGCGTTGAAGTTGACCAGCCAAATCATGCCCCAGTTCTGTCGATTGGAGGTCTTTTTTCGGGGCGCACGGCAAGGTGAGTTTTGTCAGCGAGACTGGATTTGTTTTTTGAGGCAGGAATAAATTGTGGTGTCATCCGCGTAGATGCCGACTTGAGAAGTTCTGGCGTCAGGAAGGTCATTTATATAGATAAGGAATAGAGTTGGGCCTAGGATGGAGCCTTGAGGAAATCCTGCGTTCGTGGGTAGGAACTGGAGGAGAATCCGTTGTGAACAACCTTCAATTCACGGTTTGACAGGAATGATTGTATTACGTTATATAATTGGCCCGTAATGCCATAACCCTGGATCTTGCGGAGAAGGCCGGCGTGCAAACCCTATCAAATGCTTTGGAGTTATCTAGTGCCACGGCTCGGCTTCCCCATTATTTTGGAGAGTTCGGGTAGACTGTTTCCGTGATGGCTGTGAGCACATCGGCTGTAGATCTGGCAAAGCGGAAACCATATTGCTTGTCTGAGAGCAGATTATTGGATGTGAGGTGGTTAACCACCCCGGTATTGATTAGAGCTTCAAAGATTTTGCCGAAGAGGGGAAGGAGACTGATAGGACGGTAGTTGGAAGGGTCAGAGGGGTCGCCGGAGTTCTTGAAGACAGGAACTTTTATCCAATTTTTTT